TTATTGGGAAAGGAGGCTCCAACCGATGTCATTGATGGGTTGCGGGTACGGATGACATGGTTGGAAAGAGAATTTAGAGTAGATGAACAATCAACAGAGCAAGAGGTGATATATGCAGCTCGAGCATATCTTATGATGTTGATTGGAGGGATCCTTCTAAAGGATAAATCGGGCAATTTGGTGCACACCCAATATCTTCCTGTAATGGAGGATTTCGCTATATGTCGCCAATATAGTTGGGGTTCTGTAATTTTCGTGTTTTTGTATTGTGAACTATGTAAGGCGACCATAGTCGTTAGAGGAAAAAAAGCAGATGTAGTGGGTTGTTTAGTTTTGCTCCAATCATGGGCGCGGGATCGTCTCCCGTTTATGATGCATATTACATCCGCTCCTATGGAGTCTCATCTCGCCGCAAGGAAAATTCATATATTTAAAGTTTTCATATTATATAATATTTATTTAAATTTTTAAAAAGACAATAAATAACGTAACTTTTTTAGATGGCGACACTGAATAGCCGATACAAAGTTGTAAGGTGCAACCAAAGTAGATATTCGGATGAGGATTGATATCGTCAGTAGACATGCAGTAAATTTTAGTATTTTTTGCATTAACTTTGAAATTGTAATATTAATTGTTTAATTATACTAACACAATTTTTTTGATAGTTTAATTAGATGCCTTATTATGAGTCGGATATCCAACGGTGTATACCACCAATGTTCTTTGAAGGAGCGGAGACATGGTGTACGATAACACCATTGCTCCATTTCGAAATTGTTGAGATCCATGTCACCGATAGAGTTTTGCGACAATTTGGGTTTCACCAACTGATAGAAATGTCAATATATGACATTGACGATTTGCATAAAATAGATGTGCGTGAGAAGCATAGCGAAGATTGGCCGAGGAAACATGCTACATTCATATATCAATGGAAAAATAAACATTTACAATTGCTTAATCGTTCCGAGGTACAACCCGAAGATTTTGATTTCAATGTTTCTCCCTACCTCCAAAATTATGAATCAAATGGGAAGCCATACTTGACAACGCTGGAGGAACGGTTCTAGTGGGAAATAATGAAGGCAAAATGTAGGAAAAAATCATTATCTTCATCAACATCTTTATCTTATACTTCCACTAATTATTATCCATCGCAAAAAATTAAAGTGGATATGGTGCACATCAACCATCGATGGAGAATCGAGCGGCGTGGGAATGAAGTGGGTGGGATCAAGTGCCACATTCACAAAAATTTTCCTCAGAACCGGAAGAAAGAGGTCCATAGGATCATCTTCTTCAACACGGACAATCTCAATTTGAGGCGATGACGTTAATGATGCCGTCAAATACCTTGAGTACTCCATCGTTTTCACCCGAAGATGTATATCAAAGTGGCGGAGTAGTGTTCGGCACACCGGAACCGGAATAAGAGGAAAATGAGGAAGGTGGATGACTACGATGAAATCGATGAGCACTGCATCTTTACTATTCTACCACGCCTCAACATCGTCAAGAATTGCGTAAAAATAAGTAATAAATTTGTTTATTTAAGTTTTTTGTTCTCAATATTTAATTGTATCAAAAATTCATTTTTAAGTAATAAATTTGTTTTTAAATTATAATTAAATAAAGTGTAGAATTTTAAAATTATAAAAATTTTATAATTGTTAAAATTTCATTGATATTTAGTGTAGTTAATAAAATAAGAAAAATATTAAAATTTTTAAAATTTCGAAGTTAAAAATAATATCAAACTTTTAGAAATTTTTAACAAATTTGAATTTTAAAAATATTAAATTTTTTAAAATTTAGAAGTTAAAAATAATATCAAACATTTAGAAATTTTTAACAAATTTGAAGAAAAAAAGGCCTAGAACAAGCCACCAAAAATTCTCTTCCCGGAGATAACGCCTCCCTCAAGCGTGACTGCAACTCATTAATTGATTGATCCCAATCACCATAAAACAAGGACATTGCTTTCCGTTTAGCCATCCATTCCTTGTAATAAGTCAGAATATAACCAAATATATTCCGAATGGATGCCACTAACACAGAAACGAGCACTCTTGGATTTTTTTCCACCAACAGCTTAACATAAGAGCATATGCCATCCGAATCTAAATGTATGTTGTCTTGTGTCAAGAAGGTCATTGTACATGCGTGCTCTGCATTGAACCTTTTGACTTCCCACAACATCTTTCGTTATAGGTATAATACTCGTATCCTCCATTTACAACCAACATCATGGTGTATACACCTTACGAAATAAGTCTTTTGATCTGACTCCGCGACATAGAATTGAAGATGAGTTTGATGCAGTACTCTTCGATTGCTAGTTGTGCCTCTTTTTTTATTTCAAACTAAGACCCAATAGCCAACTCAGATGATCGCTCGTCTGAAGAACCCAGTGGGCAGCACATAACTCTGGCATATCAAATATTTTAGGATTCTGCATAACATCGTAGTTAATGTCATGCATTGCAATTGCATGATGATACCGAGGCAAATCATGGTGAGGCATTTCAGGTTGAGGGTTTGTCCTTACCCAAACATTTGGAGAATTATGCAATCCTTGACATCGTGAAATAGCTGCCTCCCATACATCAACCTTAGCATCCAAACCTTGTCCCACTGAAGTAGCCTAAACAAATCGGATTCATCAACTAATGGTGTGTTGTCATCGTTTACCAACGGAATAATATCTTCATCATCCTCACTAAATTCAACAAGGCTTTCACCGAACCTTCCAACAAGGTTATCATCACCATAACTTGTATGTGGTTGAAAAAATCATGCTTCTTCTGTTCTTCGAGCTGGTACTAATGACGTCAGAATATTAGTTGCATTCGTGGTTTTGACGTACATTTCCACCATATTATTATTTGATGATTGATGAAGTCCGACCATAACAGCAACATCGCCATCGTCATCGTCATCAAGCTGAACTTTTCCATATGTCATTGGATTTGAGGAGGTCAGGTGCCAATAACTTAAACATGAAACAAAAGCTGCAAGTTTTCTCTCAATTTTTTTACTTCATTTGGCGATGAGATACATCTACAGGGAACATCATATTGATCGGCATGTCTGACTTAAACACAACACCAACATTAGTTTGTAAAATTTCGCCATTATAATGGATAATTGTGAAGAATTTGTTGCTTATTGTTTGAAATGTTTTTGGTTTGGTGAAAGGAGTTTATTGTGTAAGAGATTGAAGATGAAACGAGTGTGTTATGTAAGAGATTGAAGATGATGTGCACAACTTAAAGGGAATAAATATTTTTCCCGTTGGAACTCGTCACACTGACGTGACGAGTTCCATTGAATTTTTTTAAAAAATCTACCGTTGAGCAACAGCCAATCTAACGGTCAAAAAAGTCAAAATTATACCTGTTGGAACTCGTTACACCGGTGTAACAAGCTCCATAGGCATTAAAACATTTTTTTAATTTTCTTTTAAAAATTTTGAAAAAAATATTTTTTATTGGGGACGAGTCCCTCAAGATGTATTAAATTTATTCCAGATGTGAGGCCCACCTGACATGACCCATTAAAATTATTTTTTTATTGGGGACTATTGCAATTTTTGTAGATCCCAAATTAAAAGTTTGGGTTCCTTTATTGGGGGGCCAAATAATCCACCCGAGTGGATTATTTGCCCAATTTGGCATTTATTCGCTTTGTTTAAGTATCATTGATTAGTATTTCTTGAGTTTGATTTTTGGCTTGTTTGTAGAAATATAAATTGCCCAGTAATGTTGTGAGAGTTTGTTATATCATGAATAGCATCATCGTATGCGAGGGCAACATTTAGCATAAAAAAATTTGTTGATCGTTTTGTCGTAGCATTCGTAGTACACTTATCTGAATTACTATAGATATATAGTCATTCTTGTAAGTTGTTGGTGAATATTTAAAGAGAATAATAATTTGCTAGGTTAATGTTAGACACATCAATTGTGATGCTACAACATTGTTAATTGCATCTTGTTGTTTTACATCCCATAATCCTTTACCTAAATCGATCATTGCTTCATTTACTTGTGTTGCAATCCCATTTATTATATTATGTTTTCTATTATATTATTACAACATTGCCCCCTACATCAACTATACACAATTTTACGTTTGTTGCATAACAAATCTTTGAAGTGATATTTATCCCTATTGATACGATACTCAACACGCTAGCAACGTTTATTTTTACTACTTGATAAACGATAGTGTATGCTTGCACTAATTGTTGTTCATTACTTGAATCATCAATTTTTTGGCAGTGTTTTCGGGGATTAGTATCATTCCTTTTAAAGTTTTATTTATTTATTTAAAAACGTTGCTTTTAGTTTTTAGTTTTAGCAGGCATTGGGTGCATGACACACAACAACAACCAAGACTTTACACCTTTTGATCCGGAGATAGAGAGAACTTTATACCGAGTGAGACAACCAAAATCAACAGCATCCAAACATGGCTCATCAAGCTTTAGGAAATAATGGTGGACTACTATTACCAATTGAGGATAATCAAAATCTCTCAAACAATAATGGACAAAATGACGAGAGGATTTAACCCTTGCAAAATGAACTGGTGCAGCCACAATTCCACAACATTAATGATAGAAATAGGCCAATCCATGATTATGTTATGCCCATTTTGGACAACTTAAACCATGACATTGTTCGACTGACTATCCATGTTGTCCACTTTGAACTGAAGCCCATGATGTTTCAAATGTTGCAATCAATGAGCTAGTACAATGGGATGCACACTGAGGACCCTCAAGCTCACTTGAGAGTATTTATGGAAGTGTGTTATTCATTCCTACAATAATAAGTGCCCAAAGAAGCCTTGAAGATGAATTTGTTCCCATACTCACTTCGTAACAAAAGCCGAGGAATGGTTAACTTGGTACATTATGGTGCTATAACATCATAAAGCAAACTTTCTCAAAGGTTTTATTTCTACGATTTAATACTATCAAAATTAATGCTAGGCAAAGAAATGACATCACATTTTTTAAGCAATAGGAGGATGAGAACTTGTATTAAGCTTGGGAGCGATTTAAATATTTTTTGCGAAAGTTTTTGATGCATTGTTTCCAGCATTGGACACAAATAGAGATGTTCTATAATGGACTTAACATGCAAACAATTATGGTTATAGATACTTCTACCAAAGGGGCATTGCTGGATAATTATTACAACGAAGCTTATGATATATTGAAGAGGATTTTCAACAATGACTATCAATACCCTAATACAATGATTATATCGAGTAGACGTGTTGTTGCCTTAGTGAACAATGTGCTATAAACACACTGACTACACAGGTGATAACATTGATTGAAATGATGAATAACATACAAAAGCAAGAGATATGTATGAGGTAAAGGTTATATATCTTGTTAATTGTGTTTATTGTGGTGATAACCATAATTTTGAATAATGCCCACAAGCCCTCGAGTCTGTGTATTTTTTGAGAAATTACATCAAGAATGATAATGCCAATGCTTATGAGAAAACATATAATCTGAACTTCCAAAATCATCCCAACTTGTCTTGGATGAGTCAAAATGTAGTCGACCCCAATACGATATTACAATCAAATATTGGGAATACACAACAATAATATCTGCAAAAACAGTCGATGTGGTAACATCAACAATCATACCATTAGGTAGTGCAGCAACATCAACACAACAATCATAAAAAATTTCAAGGGTAGTCTTTCAACCAAGCCTCAGCTACAACAACGACAGCGCTTGAGTCTCTACTAAAGGAGTACTTATAAAGAAATGAAGTTATGGTCTAAAGCCAGTCATCATTGTTGAGAGAATTAGAGAATAAAGTTGAACACTTGGCCAATGCATTGAGCAACAAACCACAAGGTGCACTACCAAGTGACACCAATGTTTCAAAAGTACAAAGAAAAGTTCATTGCAACGAGTTTTGTAAGGCCATCACAACATGTAGTGGACTCCACCTTGAAAAATCAAATGCTGAAAATAAGGAGGAGGATAAGAAGCCCGGAAAACAATCTAAAGGCAAGGAGCTAAGCAATCTAAAGGCAAGGAGCTAGAAGTGAAAATTGAGATATCCAATGTGGATGTTACAACAAAGGATGTAGGATAGAGCAATAATTTTGGTACATTGTTGTCAACAATACTACCAGTATTACCGCCATCAATTACGCCACAATTGCCACTATAACCTAAAGAAAGGCTACCACCTATATTCCCCCCAAAGTTTCCAAAAAATCAATGAGGAAAAATAATTCAATAAGTTTATTGATGTGCTAAGACAATTGTTCATTAGCATACCATTGCTTGAAGCATATAAGAAAACAACGAATTACGTCAAATTTATGATGGAGGTGCTTTCCAAAATTTGTAGGATTAATGATTCTGATACCCTTGCACTCATTAAAGGGTATAACACTATGGCCATGAGTAGATTGCCACCAAAGCTAAAAGATCTAGAGAATTTTACTATCCCTTTTGTTATTGGCGATCAATTTGTAGGTAGAGTATTGTGTGATTTAGGTGTCAGCATTAACTTAATATCTTTATGTATTTTTAGGAAATTTTCCATTGGTAAGGCTCAAGCTACTACTATGACACTTCAACTCGCTGATCAATCCAATTTTCACACCAAGCGCATAATTGACAATGTATTAGTCCAACTAGAAAAATTATTTTTCCAACAGACTTCATTATTGTGGACTGTAAATGTAACAACTTCAACTCATATATGTTCTCATACACGAGTCAAAGATGTCACACCAATTGAATAAAACATTTACTATCCAAAACCCAATAAAATTTTGTTTTAATTTTAAAAAACATCAGAATAATTAATTGTATTTAAAAAACTATAATATAAATATTTAAAATAATATTCATTTGTTATATGATCAAAAGATTTCAGACATATTCAACTCAGAGCATCATAACAAAAGTATATACATTCTAACTATGAATATCAAAAACCTCAAAAAGATGTCCTATTGAGTTTGGATGTCTGATCTAGTTTGCTAAAATGTAGGATGTCCTACCTGGCTTCCTACTCTACTGACTTCATTTTTCCTACGTGTGAACCAATCACACGCTAAGTATTCCACTTAGTGAGGCAGCATAATAACATAAATAAAATATTTAACATATAAGGAAAACATTACATATATAAACATCATCAAAATAAAATATGTATATAGTTTATATTTAATCAAATATACATAATAAAATAGTAATAAAAAATTCTATAAATTACAGTACCAAGTCATTCTAAATTTATACTTTTCTATTTCAGATCATATCATTTTCTTATTTTATGCAGACCAGATCATTTCTTTACCCACTGTATTTTCAAGAGAATATATGGTACGCGAGTCACATATCAAGTAAACGAATTATAAGTAGTCGAAACTGTCAAAACAGATTACACCGAGTCACTTCACCTCGTGCATCACTAAGATACATCGAGTCAGAGCATGAGTGACCCATCTTTATGTCGTATAATACACATATAAAACCAGACATATCGCACTAGATCACTCCACCTCGTGCACCACTATGGTACACCGAGTGAGAGCACAAGTGATCCATCTTGGTGACATATTTGAAACAGATACAAATTCACTCCACCTCATTGCATGCCATTGTACCACTAACCCTCATTCTCATACAATGGGCTTTATTTAAAATCATATACTAGTTTACATAAAAAATAATTCAGACAATCAAATATAAAACCATTCTCATAAAAAACATATTTTGGGTAGGCCAAACCCAAAAATATTTAAATACTATGAAATAAAAGAATAGTACATTGTACTTATTCTAAATACGATTTAAAAAAAACATTTACTTTCAAATCTATCGAGGTTGACTCATCGCATGTCGCCCTCGTATTATTTTTGATAAAAAGTTAGTTGCACTCACTTGTGGCCTCACTGGCTTATTTGATACTATCAATTTACTCTTGAACTTTATCCTTTCCTTTTATCTCACTTTGAACTTGTGAGCGATCACGATCTACAAGAATGTTAATTATCCAGACAACAAATTTCGAACATGAATTAGTATTGCAACTAATAATAATAAACTCGATTTTGAATAAAATTCTAAAAATTACAATCATCTCATATCCGATAACTAATTTCTCTCCCTTAATTTAAATCAACTTTATTTCTTTTAATATTACCCTCCAACCCCTTTTTAAATTTTATTCCTTGTCCAATATCCCTTTAATTCAACACTTTCCCCATTTCACCACCAGCTTCCTTCAAACTTTCAATTGAGTCCTTAAACTTAAAACTCTTCCAAACCATTACAATTTACTATTTTTTATACTAAATTTCAGCATAAGATCTTAACTTCTCAATGATTGCACATTAATCCTTTAAATTGTCAAACTATGCGAAAAAGTCCCTTAAAGTCTAACAAAGTTCAAATTTGGTTCCAAACATCAGTTCAAGCACCTAGAATCATTTATACATTCCATCTAAACCATTAGGAAATTTTTACAAAATTTTCCCTTAATTTCTCCCTTGGGCCGAAACTTTGCAATCTTCGCCCTAATGGTCTCCAATTTGATTCATTCATAATTTTGTCATCATTGCACCATTTCCAATCTATTCCAATCAAGTTCAAAATAAAACAAATCAAATTCAACCAAATTTTCATCAACCAAGTTCATGGTTGAATGTTTCACTCTTGTTTTCTATTGGTTTTCAATTCAATTTCATGTTAGTATTTTATTCTACAAAACTCCTAGCATCCATTTCTAATTTTAATTCAATGAATTTCCATGAATTCAAGTCACCCCTTCATCCACATAAATCACTCGCTTCTAACATTCAAGCATGAAAATAAATAAATAACCAAATTGTAGTGAATTTAATGGGTATTATTTTCTTATTTCACACCTTAGCCCAAAATCTTACTAAATTTGATCAAAAATGGAAAAGAAAAGAAATTTCTCACCTTGGTTATGAGTTTCAGCAACCTGCTGAAGAATAAGAGACTCCCAAAATTTCTGGGGGGAAATCCCCTAATTTTGACTTTTAAAACCAATAAGAAAAATTTTGTATTCATTTTGGCCAAAAACCCAAATTACAATTAATGAATTCCTAAATTACAACTATGTCAATCCATTATCTCTAATTTAATATTATTAAATAGCTGTAAAAATTTCATCTCTCAATTTTTATTTTTGACCCTCCAATTTTTCAAAATTTTATTTTAGTCACTAAATTGCATTATCTCACTTTATAATGCAATTCTCGCCAAATTCCACTTATCCATCTTAAATTTCACTAATTAAAAAAATCCATATAATTTTTCTAACCCAAAACTACCTTTCTTCAAATTTTTGTAGACTTTTGATTCGATCCGGTTATCCGAGTATTATACAAATCTTCATCCTTTAATAGGCTTGTATGCAAACTCCAGATTAAAAATCTAAAATTTTTTTATCTTGGACTAAACTACTTATTTACAGACTCAAGATATAACTTTTAAAAATTTATAAATTTTAGTCCCTAAACTTTTATAACTTCATGGTTTAATCCTAAACTTTTAATTTTTTACATTTCATTCACTAATCCAAAATTTGGGATATTACAATTCTCCCCCTTTAAAAATTCATCCTTGAATTTTTAGTTACCGTCTGCTCGAAACAGGTAAGGAAACTAGTTTTTCATGTCTTCTTCGTGTTCCCAAGTAGATTCATCTACTTTATAATTACGCTAAAGGACTTAACCAGTGGAATCATCTTGTTCCGTAGTTCTTTTACTTCATGAACCAAAATCTTCACAGGTTCTTCCTCATATGTCAAATCCGGCTAAATTTTTATTTCTTTCGATGTGATGACGTGTGAAGGATCCGACCGATACCTCCGAAGCATTGATACAAGAAAAACATTATGAATCTTGTACATTTTTGGAGGCAAAACCAACTGATAAGCTACCAGACCCACTCTTTTCACAATCTCATATGGTCTAATAAACCTTGGACTCAATTTTCCCTTTTTTCCAAAGCGTATAATCTTCTTCCAATGTGACACTTTAAGAAATAATCTATTATCCACTTGGTATTCAATTTATTTTCTATTCAAATATGCATAAGACTTTTTTCGGTCTGCAGCTATCTTGAGGTTATCTTGAATAATCTTCGCATTCTCTTCTACTTTATGTCTCAATCCTTCAGTTCAAACCAAAATGGTGTCCTGCATTTTCTTTCGTGTAAAGCTTCATAGGGCAACATCTTAATACTCACTTGATAACCATTATTATATGCAAATTCTGCTGAATACAAATATTTCTCCCATGATATTTTGAACTCAATCACACACACCCTTAGCATATCTTCCAAAACCTGGATAGTCTGCTCAAACTGATCATCCGTCTGCAAATGAAAATGTGTGTTAAAATTCAATCGAGTACCCAAGGCTTTATGTAAAGAGTTCCAAAACCTCAAAGTGGACCTTTGATCTTTGTCTGATACAATCGAAACTGGTACACCATGTAATCGAACTATCTCTATGATGTATAGCTCAACATAATTGTTCATCAAGTAGTCAATCTGAACAGGGATGAAATGCGCTATCTTGGTCAATCTATCAACTATCACCCAAATTGAATCCTTTTTATTCGGTGTCAATGGTAGTACCATTACGAAATTCATTATAACTCTTTCCCATTTCCACTGGGGAATAGAGATCGGCTGCAGTAATCCCGATGGCACCTGATGCTCAGCCTTTACTTGTTAACTCATTAAGAACTTTTCCACGAACTCCGTAATAGCTCTTTTCATACCAGGTCAACAATGTCGACTCTTCAAGTCTTGATGTATCTTATTCTCGCTTGGATGCATATTAAACGGACTAAAATGCACTTCGAAAAGAAGCTCTTTCTTCAATAAGCACTTTCATCCTTTTCTTGCGGCTCTCTAATTCGCTCTAGTAAAGTAGGGTTTAATCTTATTTCAGCAATTAAGGAACTGTCTCCTTTCCAAGATAATTGGGTATTCAATGAGTGCAGTGTTAAAAAAGTCTTCTGGCTAAGTGCATCAGCAACTACATTTTCCTTACCTGGATGATAATCTATGATCACATCATAATCTTGAGTAACTCAATCCATAGCCTCTGTCTCAAGTTCAACTCTTTTTGAGTTAGCAAGTATTTTAAACTTTTGTGATCAGTGTAAATATAACAACATTCACCATATAAATAGTGGTGTCATATCTTTAATGAAAACACCACCGCTGCCAACTCAAGGTCAGGTGTCGGGTAATTCCTTTTATACGGCTTGAGTTGTCTAGAGGTTTATGCTATCACTTTTCCATTTTGCATTATAACGCATCCCAAACCACTATGAGACGTGTCACAATACGCTACATAGTCTTTGCCCGATTCTAGTTGTACAATTACTGGAGCCTCTATCAGAACTTTCTTCAATTTCTCTAAATTTTCTCAGAACCTCTCTATCCAAATAAAAGGTATATATTTCCTCAATAGTTTTTTCAACGAGGAGGCGATCATTGAAAAATCCTTTACAAACCTTCGATAGTATCCAACCAACCCTAAGAAACTTCAGACCTCAGAAACATTGTTTTGTAGTCTTCATTCCACTATAGCTTTAACCTTCTGAGGATCCACTCGAATCCCCTTTGAATACACCACATGTTCGAGGAATGCAACCTCAGACAACCAAAATTCACACTTCGATAACTTACCATACACCTTCTTATCTAGCAGTGTCTGAAGAACAGTGCGCATATGGGCATCATGCTCTTCCTTGGTCTTCGAGTAAACTAGAATATCAATCGATAAATACAAAAAAAAAACTGATCCAAGTATGGCTAGAATATTCAGTTCATAAGATCAATAAAAATTGTTGGAACATTTGTTAACCCAAAAGGCATTACCAAGAACTCATAGTGTCTGTACCGAGTCTGAAATATTGTCTTTGGAATGTCCTCTTCTTTAATCTTCAATTGATGGTACCCCGGTTGAAGATCAATCTTTGAAAACATTGTTGTGCCTTTTAACTGGTAAAACAAGTCATCAATACTCGGAAGAGGATACATGTTCTTCACCTTCACCTTTTTTAACTTCCTATAATCTATGTATAATTGCATAGATCCATCATTCTTCTTTACAAATAGCACTGGTGCTCCCCAAGGTGACACACTCGACCTGATAAAACCACTTTCCAACAATTCTTGTGACAAGAACCCTTTAACTCTCTGAGTTATGTTGGTTCCATCATCTATGGAGTCATCGAGATCAGTACAGTACCAGGGAATACTTCAACCCTGAACTCTACCTCTCTATTAGGAGGTAGTCCCAACAATTCATTTAGGAAAACATCAAGGTACTCTGTAATAGTGGGAATATCCTCTAATCTTGCTTCAGAAGTTCGAGTATCTAATACATTGGCTAGGAATGCTTGACACCCTTGTATCAATAACTTCGTAGAAGAAATAGCTGATATCACTTTAGATAAAGGATTTATCCTTTCCCCAACTACTATCATCTCTCAGTCTCCAAGTCTTTTACTATGACTCATTTTAAATGAAAATCTACCATGGCATGGTAAGTGGATAACCAGTCCATGCCCAAAATAATTCCAAACTCCTCTACAGGTAGCTACAATAAGTTCCCCAAAAATTTAATTCCTTGAATTTCTATCGGGCAACCTTTGCACCATCTAGTAACCCTCGCACTCTAACCCAGTGGATTTATCGTTATAATATTACTAGAAGTTTATTCTAAATGAATTCCTTGTTCTCTTCACTTTTTTACTAATATATGGAAGTGAAGAACCAGTGTTAATTAAAACAAAAACAGGTACACCATAAAGAAAAAAGTAATTGCTATGACTTTCGGACCATCTTTGTCTTCAATGGTTTGATATTATAAAATCTTGCCAAAGTGCACGTCTTTTATTGGGGAATAGACTCTGAGGGTCCTCTGCCTCTACCTCGAACTCTCTAAGAAACAATAGCAGATCATTCTATCTGGGTGGGTCCTTCAATTGCCAACAGATAATCTTTCATAAAATGACTCATCTCAACACAACAAAAATATCCCCCGGTAACTCGTCAGCATACTCCCAAATGACATTTACCACATATCTCACAGTATCAAAACTCTCTCTGATCAACTCTAAGGTTTGAAACCTCTGCCCCTTTTTAACTGAGAGGTAGCTTAAAATGACCTAAATCTCTTGGATGGTTGGAACATCTACTCTGTAAACTTCTCATTTTGTATATGTTCTAGGGCTTTAGCTCAATTTATTATTTCCTAAAAGGTTGGCAGCTTTAACGCCAACATAAACTCTATCAACCTTGGACGCAAACCCTCAATAAACCACTCACATTTGTCAATCTCGGTTGAGATTAACTCTGAGGTAAACCAGTTTAATTTTGTAAATTCATCCTAGAACTCATAAACACTGCGATTGTCATGCTTCAAATTCAAGAAGTGTTGCTTCATTTCTCTAATGAATTGACTACCAAGAAAAATTACTACGTCACTTGGTCTAGAGGAATATGCATCGTGGTGTTCGTCCATCACATCCAAGTTGGACCACGAAGAGGAGAAATCACTCCATCTGACCTTTCTTGATCCGAGCGATGAAATCCATCTAACATTACTTTCACATCATATAACTACAGATCGGCTACCGCTGGACCCTCCTCAGCTTCTCCCACTACAATAAAATATACCTTTAATGACACACGCTAATTTATGACTTACAAAACATGTGCGTCATAAAATAAATATAATATTTTTTAAAATCTGAACGATTTATGACTTACAATAATGTGTGTCATATTTAATAGTCATAATACAACAAATTTATCAAAACACGAAATACACTTTTAATTGTGTGTCATCTATAAAAGTCGTCTTTTAATTTTACCCCGTTATTTTCATCTTTTCCCGCTTTTTTTTCATTTCCTTTCCTCGGATAACAGGAAGAAGAAAAAAAACTCAATTTGGGATCATCAGCTTCAATCTTAAGAATCAAGTATGAAACCCTAATTTGATTTATAGCTTCTCGTGTGTGCAAATATTTCCGTGGAAAAACCAGCAAAGGAACCCCAACGATTTCTCCAAGGCCATGGCAGCAGATTTGAGCACTTCACACTCTGAACCCAAGTTTTTATTTTTACTATTGTTTTGTTGCACTTATGTCGTTTCATGTTTATTTCGTAGTTTAATTTTCATTCGTAATGATTATTACTTTATTGTTGATTAAAAGGAATGTATTATCAGTTGATATTCCTTGATTATTGTTTATTTTTTGCAGAGAAAAGCTAGAGATGGAAATTAAGGATCCAGTAGTTGCAAGAAAAGTTCAGAAGGCAGACCGTGAAAAATTGAGGAGGGACAAATTGAATGAGCAGTTTTTTGAGTTGGGAAACACGCTTGGTAACTTAGGACGATTAATCGATTGTTTATTGCTGATAATTAATCATATGGCATTGGATTTGTAAATGTTACTAGGAAAACTCAGCCTTTACAGTTTCTAAGAGGTCTTCATTGAGTTAGTGTAGACACTATTGAACTCGGAAAACTCTTCCTTTTCGGTAGCTAAGAGGTCTTCATTAGGTTGGAAGAGTGACAACTGAACCATTGCATTGCCATTTGATTGTTGATGCTCATCTGATGTATTCGATTATTATATATCGTTGTGTGTATGCAATCAGTTCAAGGTCGAGTTTGGGATATCTACTCAACTCGGTTAACTTGAAGCTTCTGGTCAATTTCATGTAATTTGTTTCATGTTTTGAGCACATAGCTTAAAAGTATTGCTTACGGCAGCAAATAATAAAAAAGAGTTGCTTGGATTATCATGTTTTGTGGAAATGCTCAGCTTTTTAATAAATTGTTTCACTCTTTTTTGATACATATTTTAAGATCTATTTGAAGTTAATAGAAAAAGTATATACGTTTATTCATTCTGGTATATGGTAATTTGCTTCAATTGTAAATGATAGTTTCATATCTTCTTCTCACATTTTTTCTTGTATCAGCCTTCTGCAACGACAGATAAATCTTGCTCAGCATCAAGTTAAGAGGGTAGAATCTAAACTATTTACTTTGTTAACACAACCACCTAGTTGTCATTATTTTCTCTAAATGTTAGCAACATTTTCAATTTACAGGAACAAAATCAAGGCATTAACTTGTGGAGTACCCTTCCTATCAATTCAACCACTCCCTATGGGGCAAAAAAAGGCAAACTTCCAGTGACTTGGCCTCATGTAGCAGGTTGTCTTGCACCTTCGTCTGGTTTGAGTTCATGCTGGAAAATCTGATCTCTTTTTTACTTGTGTATATTTGAAGATGGGATGAATATTGGATATCTGATCTATTTTGACAAGAAGAAGGTGCACACAACATTGGCCTTGCTTTATTTTTTTGGCATTGAAATTATATATATGTTATATATATATCAAAGTTGTGGTTTTTATCTTTTCAGGCTTGAATGAATCAATTGACCCAGCACCACTGAATGGATTGCCTTTGGATGTAAGTGGCATGTTAATTAATATTTGTTGGAGCCTTGCGAACACCAACTTTTACACTTTTTGACACCGTAGATGTTTAAATCCTGCCAAGTGTAAATAGAAGTTTGCTTAAAGTTCCACTAACAGTTCTGTAATTGAGCTTGCTTACTTGATTTGGGTTATAGTTTAAATTTACTCTTTCAGGCACCAAACTATCATCAGCAATTTCAGATATTGAATTGTCAACCAGAGTTGAGAATAACAGACTGGTCAGTTGAAGCAGTAACATAAACTTATGGGTATATATTATTGTCATTTTGTTTTCGGTAAAGATAATATGTATTTTGCATCTAATGGATTTGTCACTAGGTACTCTCTGTAAGATGTTATGATGATATGTATGCTATCAACCCTCCTTTAAATAGTCATAAATTAAAAAGAGATCTTACTGTAGTAATTGCATGCAACTTAAAACTTATATGGTTGTGTTTATTGGTTTCACTTGTTAGAAGCTCTTTCACTCTCGTTTTGGGGGGAGAATTATCATGCTTATTTTCTCATTAGTGGCTGATTGGCGATGAACCAGATGCCAATCCAAACAGCACAAACAGAAGAACATCAAAACCAATATAGTTTGCTGCAATAACTGCAGGTAATATACAAGTAACTCTTAAGGAAGGCTGATGCTAATGCTGATGCTATTGCATCTTCCGTCTTGGTTGAAAATCCTAGAAAAGTCTCTGTCTATGTGCATGTATAGTATGGTATCTTCTTATAATTATATTTTCTTTGATCAGACGGGTAGAAAGAAAAAGAAATTATCAAATTCAACAACAGCAGATCAGAAATTGGTATGTCATCAAACTTCAGAAAATATTTGATGTCTTTTCCTTTGCCATTGACCTGTGATATATGAGGGGATTTATTCCATGTTAGTGGAGAATGTCGTCATATTTTCTTGATCTATACTTTGTATGATCTTATTTTTTTTCTTATTCTTTGAGTCGATCTTTTCTTCTTCTTCTTTTGTTTGCATCATGATTGTTGCCTGTTTCATGGAATGTTCATCTGCAGGATTTTATCAAGGCTGAGGAGCATAAATGACACCGTTGATTCTTTTCATGTAATTATCATGGAAAATGGCGGGGAACAGATGTTGCTATAAAGAGAATAAAAAAGCTTGATAACCTTTTTCACTTAAGTCTCATGAACTCAAAGATGAAAGATGAAGCTTATGAGCAATCACCTATGACACCAAGGATGGTGTTTTTAGAAGTTTAATGTGCATATTAGGAATGTGTTTGTTCTATATATTGCAACTAATTTTAACTGTTACAATTATTTTCAATTATTTCTTGTGTATACGCCCGGATGGCGAGGGCATATTAATAGAACTTTATTATGCCGTGATATTTTGTATCGACATATGATTACAATATTTTTGATAACTTAATGTGAATATATTGTATGCAAATGGATTGCTTATATATATAATATGATATATATATTTAGTATTATGAGGCATTAAATGTGATTTAGTTTGATTATTTGTCAATCTACAATATATATATATATAATTTACGAAATACAATCACGACACACGAATGTGTGTCATTTTCATTTATGACGGGGGTTTCAATGACACGCAATGTAAGTCATAAATGCGTGTCATAAATTTATGACACACAAATGTGTGTCATCTTCATTTATGACGGGGCTTCAATGACGCGCAATGTAAGTCATAAATGCGCGTCATAAATGCGTGTCATAAATGCGCGTCATAAATTTATGACGCACAGTTGCGCGTCATCTTAAATTCATGTCGGTGGCTTCAACGACAGACAAATATGTGTCATCCGCACCCATAGATGACGCGCAATGCGCGTTATTAAAGGGGTTTTTTCTACTAGTGTCCTTTGAACTCTGGTGCACCCAAACTTTTTAATTTGTTTGCTATAGACATTCAAGAAGCTTGAGGAGTAGGGGGAGGAGCATACTAATAACGCTACAAAATATCCTCTAATGCTTGCAGAAACATCCCCTGATCAGATGCAGGCGCTCCTAGAGGTGTTGGAGCTCCATGTTGTTCTGACTGAGCAGGAGGTTCAGTACACACCTCATTACTACCATTAGCCCCCTTTGGGATCTCTTGCTGTTCATTCACTCTCCTCGATGTTTCTGATTCAGACATTTACAATACAAAAAAAATACTTAGATTAGGAAGGAGCGAAATCCGTATATAAACACCATATCAATAGCTTTTAATATCCTAGTGGCATGTACAAACTTTAAATAACTTATAACTTCAGTTTAGGCCGAGAATCAACTAAACTTGCAGTTCTGATACCAATAAATGTAGCATCCTCAACTTATATATGTTCTCGTACACGATTTAAAGATGTCACATTAGTTGAATAAAACATTTATTGTCCAAAAATCGATAAAATTTTGTTTTAATTTAAAAAACAGCATTAGAATAAGTAATTGCATTTAAAAAATATGATATAAAATATTTAAAATAATATTGATTCATTGTATGATCAAAAGAGTTCAGACATATTCGAATCAGAGCATCATAACAAAATTATATACATGCCAACAATGAATATAAAAAAACATCATAAAGATGTTGTACTGATTTTCGATGTCTAATTTGTTCTACCAAAATGTAGGATGTCCCGCATGGCTCCCTATTCTGTTGCCATCGTTTCTCCTACGTGTAAATCAATCACATGCTAAGTATTCCACTAACTAAGGCAACATAATAACATAATTAAAATATTTAACATATAAGGAAAACCATTTCAAATATAAACATCATCAAAATCAAACATGTATATAGTTTATTTCTAATCAAATATACGTAATAAAATAGTATTAAAAATTCTATAAATTATTGTACTGAGTCATTATAAATTTATACTTTTCAATTTTAGATCATATCAATTTCTTATTTTATGCAAATTAGATCATGTATTTTCCTATTGTATTTTCATGAGAATATATGGTACACGAGTCAGATATCTAGTGAGCGTGCTATAAGTAGTCAAAACTGTCAGAACAGATTGCACCGAGTCACTCCATCTTGTACATCACTAAGATACGTCGAGTCAGAGCCTCAATGACCCATATTGGTGTCGTATAATACACATATAAAACCAGACATATCGCATTGGATCACTCCACTAGGGTACGCCAAGTCAGAGCACGAGTGATCCATCTTGGTGCCATATCTGAAACATATGCAGATTCGCTCCACTTCATGGCATGCTATTGTACCACTAACCCTCATTCTCATACGATGGGCTTTATTTAAAATCATATACTAATTTGCATAAAAAATAATTCAATCAAATATAAAATCATTCTTATAAAAAAGTAGATTTTGGGTCGTTCATACCCAAAAATATTTAAATACAATGAAATAAAATAATAGTAAATTGTACTTATTCTAAATATAATTTAAAAAACATTTACTTTCAGATCTATCGAGGTTGACTCGTCGCAAGTCACCCTCGTATTATTTTTTATAAAAATTAGTTGCACTCACTTGTGGCATTAGTAGCTTGTTTCATAATATCGATTTACTCTTGAACTTTATCCTTGTATCTCTATTTGAACTTATGAACGATCATGATCTACATGAATGTCAATTATCCCGACATAACAAATTTCGAACATGAACTAGTATTGCAACTAATAGTAATAAACTCAATTTTGAATAAAATTCTGAAAATTACCATCATCTCATATTTGATATGAATTTCTCTCCCTTAACTTAAATCAAACTTTATTTCTTTTAATATTCCCTTCTAAGCCCTTTTTAAATTTTATTCTTTATCAAATATCCCTTTAAATTGACACTTCCCCATTTCACCACCAGCTTCCTTCAAACTTCCAATTAAGTCCTTAAACTTATAAACTCTTCCAAGTCATTCCAATTTACTTTTTTATATTAAATTTCATCATAAGACCTTAACTTCTCAATGATTACACATTAATCCTTGAAATTGACACACTATGCAAAAAAATCCCTTAAAGTCTAACAAAGTTCCAAATTGTGTTCCAAACATCATGTCAAGCACCTAGAATCATTTCTACATTCCATCTAAACCATTAGGAATTTTTACAAAAATTTCCCTTAATTTCTCACTTAGGTCGAAACTTTGCAAACTTCACCCTAATGGTCTCCAATTTGATTCATTCAAATTTAGTCATCATTGCATCATTTCTAATCCATTCCAATCAAGTTCAAAACAAAACAAAACAAATTCAACCAAATTCTCACCAACCAAGTTCATGGGTGAATGCTTCACTCTTGTTTTCTATTGGTTTCCAATTCAATTACATATTAGTATTTTATTCTACAACACTCCTAACATTCATTTCTAATTTTAATTCAATGAATTTCCATGAATTCAAGTCTCTCCTTCATCCACATAAATCTCTCGCTTCCACCATTCAACCATGAAACAAAGAAATATTTACACCAAATTGTAGAGAGTTTAATGGAGATTATTTTTCTTATTTCACACCTTAGCCCAAAATCTTACTAAATTTGATCAAAAATGGAAAAGAAAAGAAATTACTCACCTTAGCTATGATTTTCAGCAACCTGCTGGAGAATAAGGTGGTGATTGTTTTCATTGTTTAAGGTCTTCAAAGCTCTTATGTCTGCGCCGCACAAACCACGAGTAGACATTAGGCTTCGCATACCGTTTGTTTTTTTAGAAGACAGAAGCTCTTCTAACGTTTGCGAGTGGTCTGCGCGGCGCAGACGTGGCCTTATGTCTGCAGTCGTCTTTTAACCTCTTCAAAGAACCATTTTTGCTATTAATTTTTTAAAAATTATAAAATGTCATTAAATTTAATGAATTATTACAAAATAGTCACTATAATGTTGTAATAAATTATAAAAGTTTGATAATATAATAATTATTTTATAGTATTTAGATAAATTTATTAATAATTTTATAATCTTTTAATAAATTTAATAAGTATTTTATA